TTCCGTAGTGATACTGCCTCGGAAACCCAAGGAGGGGTCTCTATGAGTCGGGGCCGACTCGACGGCACACAACAACAACAACAACAAATATATATATATTGGCTAAAATTACCCATGCAGAGCCATATATCAAATGGTCTTGGAAAATGAAGTGAATATTCTACTTGTATTCCTGTAGATCAATTCAAACCATGTGTTAGCTAATCATTATATAGAATGTATTATATGCCTCCCTTCAGCAGTACTTATCACCATACTGCAGATGCCATGAAGGCAGAATGGTGTCTGTACCCAGTAGACTGAAAGGCACAAGGTAGGTATGCAAGAAATGTTTGTTGATTGAGTGAATAGAGGGATGCATTACTATTCTTCACATCTTTGAACATGCTTTTTGGTAAAGGGGCTACCATTTACCTTAAAGAACCATACTATCTCACTTGAAAAAAATATATACCTAACTTAAGATGCAAGAGCTCTGGTAGCATAGTACCTAAGGCACTTGATTGCTAATCAGAAGTTTGGTGGTTCGAACCCATCAGCCACTCCTCAGAAGGAGGGTTGGGCAATCTATTTCCATAGTGATATCACTTCGGAAACCCAAGGAAGTGTCTCTATGAGTCGGGTCCAACTCAAAGGCACATAACAACTACAACAACTTAAGATGTAGACTAACAAAAGTAAGTACACGAAATGCTCTAAATATTTGCCTGAAAATTAAAGAAAAAAGATTTAACCTTTACATTTATATTTGAGATCTCTCCTATTTTCAAAAATTCAAAATATTATTGAACAACAAAACAAACCAATAACTTAATTTTACATGTTTTAGAAATCTGTTGTGGGCCTCATGTACCAGGATAACTCAAAGGCCTACAGAATCAGACTTCACATTTTGAAAAACCCAAACTGTTCCTACCCTGCACAAGTGGGTAATTGGCTATGCACAATTGCTCCACAAATGTGCAGCTAGAACCACCCAATACAACCATTTGCTTTTAAATTTGGCAGAAAAGTGTTGTGTTAGTGAGAAGCCTTTGTGTTGGGTTTTAGCGCTCTAGTGAGGGCTTTTCCCCTCCTCCAGTGCCTTTTAAATGCTATATCATAAACATCTACAAGCAAGGATTTACAATACAGATGGTTTCCTACTGATGCCTTTGAGCTACTTCGGAACATATCCTATTATTACAATTTGCTCAGATGAAGTTTAAGGTACCTTGGAAAATGGAGATAGTAACAGCACCTGTCCCACAGCATTGATTAAGTATCCAATAAGATAATGTATATAAAGTGCTAAGCACAGTCTCTCTATCATAGTAAGTATTCAAAAATATTATTTAAAAATAAAAAAAATTCAACTTAATATTCTTAACATTATTTTTTGGAAATTAACTTTTTTTCCTGGGCAAAATATTCAAAGTTCTTAATGACATACAGAATTTGATTTATGTTTTCACTGATACTAAGAAATACATATAGGAGCACAGGTAGAAGTATGGATAAAGATTCTAAATTAAAATGGCAATGCTTTCACAACTAATCTTCAGGTTTTAGTGGTCCAGTGAAATGAATGGCTTTGAGGGCAAGAGTATCTCAGAAGCTCAGCTATGCTTTAGAACATGAGCCCTAGCCAAATGCAATGAATATAGAAACTGCAAACTGAGCTTTAAATAACAAACTGTATATATCACCGAAGTGCATTTAATGACTACACGGAATTGCAACTTTTCCCAGAGAACTCAAATGACACCTGCTATTTAGAAAGAGTGCTGGAGTTTAACACTTAACTAAGGAAAACAAATAAAAAAAGGAATTCTAGTCTCAAATTCCAGCTCTTTCTTCTTCAATTAAAATAAGCACCGAATAGTTTTGTTTTCAAGTATACAAACTCCAGTTGACCAAACACTTGTCAGCAAAACTTTAATAACACATATGTAGGATTTCCTTGTGGAAAAAATAAAGAAAAATGCATGTCTTAGAAAACATACATTTACCAAGTTGAGTTTTTTCTTGTTCTTTTCTTTCTTTCTTTCTTTTTTCTTTTTTAAGGGAAAATATCTCAGATAGGCTCCAGAATTCTCTTTCCAAATTATGCTTTCTGATACCTTGCTTGAAAGCAAGTAGTATTAATCAAACAAAGGAAGGGCACTAGGGAAATCAGAAAGATGTAATGCAAGCAGTTAAAAGTGACATGACCTTCTGTAATGTCGCTCGTCACAGACTTATATGCCACACACTGGAGGAAGGTCTTGAAAGAAACTGATTCTTGGTACTATTCCTTGAATGTAATACTAATAAAGATGACATTTTAAAAAACACACGTAGACATCCCCCAAATGTAGCATGCCAGCTACATTACAGCTTAAGCAAGTAACATTATTTTTTTAAAGCATATTTATTCTTTAATGTTCAATGTTTTTTGAATCATTTTTCATTAACATAGAAAGTATAATATGTGGTTGTACATTTAAAAAATTATTTTCAAAGTGGAATAAATTGTATCTATAAAATCTATATATCTTCTATAGTTGTGTAAGAGCTTTTTTAATATTATAAGACTTTTAATTGTAATCCAACACAAGTAAATGTTTTATGATTTGCAAGGAAATAAAATGTTATTTAATGGAAAATGTTAATAATGATGTGGGTAGCAGGAATAAATATATAACAATATGTTTAGATTTACTCCACAAGACAAAGATGTGGCAGGCAGAGGACCAGTAGGATTCAGGGAAAAATGAAGGACAGTGAATGAAAGAGGAAAAGTAGAG